CTCTCTCTCTCTGTCTTTTTCTGTCTCTGTCTCATTTGGGCTCTCTCTCTCTCTGTCTCATTTGGGCTCTCTCTCTCTCTCTGTCTCATTTGGGCTCTCTCTCTCTCTCTGTCTCATTTGGGCTCTCTCTCTCTCTCTGTCTCATTTGGGCTCTCTCTCTCTCTCTGTCTCTCTGTCTGTCTGTCTCATTTGGGCTCTCTCTCTCTCTCTCTCTGTCTGTCTGTCTCATTTGGGCTCTCTCTCCCTTCCATGTGCATTAAAGCATTGGTTTGTAAATTTAATGTTATAATAATTGTGATCTTGAACATTGATTTCTTTCACTAGTAAAGTTGTGGAGAGCCATAGTCACTTACCTACTGAAGAGACATAGATTCAAAATGTGAGGAAATTACAATACAGGTAAATATTCCATTTTTCATACAATACAAATCCAATATGGAATTAAATTAAAACATTTTACCAATAAAAACTTGTAAGCAAAAAAAGCTATATTCAAAGTGAAAAATTACTTTGTATATTTTTCTGTATATTTTTTTAAAGATAATTTAGGTCTGTTACAAGTAAATAGGATATGTGTTTTTTTTTTTTTTTTAGTAATAACAAATAAATTGATGATAGTTCTAACCATAATAATAAACAAAAAATTATAATTGAATATTAAAAAATACTGTACTTGATGGCCTTCAGTACATCTATGTGCTGCCTCCCTTCAGATTATAAGCAATCATGACTCTCCACAGCATTCTTTCTTTTGTCACTCCTAACAATGTTTGTCTTTTTACTACCCCTCCCTTTCACTGTTCTGACATCCATTTACACAACTTTATTAGATAGGTTAGTAACTGTTGTCTTTTCTTCCTTAATGTCTTGTAAGTGTCAAATTTTCCAAGCTTTCATTCCTTTTTGTATGCCAGAAATTTAAACTCTTTATAAGTGACCATTTTACTTCCTAGTTGCTTACATGTTATGTCTAGGGTATTCTCAGCATCTTTCTTTACAGCTGCATCTCTGTTGCCTCAAGTCCTCTTCATCTGTGAAGAAATTGTTTCAGCATTCATTGACAGTTCTAGGAAAAATGCCAGTGGGGAAAATTCCCATTGATAAATTAAAAGATTGAGTTCAGAGAATCTAATTTAAATGAAGATAATTTATGTAGAAAAAAACATGTCTCTTTTTATAACAACTAATTTTGACCAAAACTATCATTCCTCTTTTTATAATTGCTTTTTTTATTACTTGAAGTCAAACTTAAATGATGAGAATATTAGTAAGATAAGACTATCCATTTCTCTTGTTATAATTGCTTTTTTGAAACAAAACTACAATTTCTCCATTTATATTTGCATACTTCAAGTTGTAAATTGGTACAAAAGAATGGTGAGCATCAACTCACCTGTGGACGAGTTGACACTTTTTTGACTGTAGGGCTACCTTTTATTTAATTTAATCTTTAATAAGATTTCTCAAATATTCAGGCCAGTAGATGAAAATATACTGTTTAATAAATAAATGGAGCATCTACTCAAATACAAGTATCGACTAAAAAATAACAGTTAAATTATAAAAATCTGTCGGATTAATAAATTACAAAATCCATCCATTCCCATATATATATATATATATATATATATATATATATAGTTCTAGGAAAATTTCCAGGCAGAAAATTCCTATTGAGAACATTGTCAGTGTGGAATATTGTCACTGACAAATTAAAAAGGGAGTCTAATCTAAATGAAGATAATTTAAGTAGAAAAACCCCAAAAATATTCATTTCTCTTTTTATAATTGCTGATTTTATTATTTGAAATCAAACTTAAATGACAAAAATATTAGTAAGATAAGACGATCAATTTCTCTTTCTATAATTACTTTTTTGAAAAAGACTTACAATTTCTTCATTTATATTTGCTTACTTCAAGTTGTAAATTGGTGTGAAAGAACATTGAACATCAACTTGCCAATTGACACTTTTTTTGTTGTTTTAGGGGGTACCCTTATTTTTTAAACAGAAGTCCTTTGTTTTGTTCCTATGAAACCTAAAAATAATAACCCCTTCAAATAAACTCAGTATATGCATTTAACACTTTTTTAAAAAAATTAAGAAAATTTTTGTATATATTTTTTTATTTTTGTATTTCTCTTTTCATCCTGTTTTTCTGAATTTTTCTTTTTTAATATATATATATATAATTCGACTTTGCTAACCGAATGTGCCTCTGTGGCCAAATCAGTAAAGGCACATCAAGCTAAATGACGGTTCCGTATAGGATACAGGTTCAAATCCTGTCGGAGGCCGAATATTTTCTGTGAAGATTTCTCAGACATTCAGGCCAGTAAATGTTGTTTAATACTGTTTATTATAAACAGAGCATTTACTTAAATATTTGTATCTATAAAAAGAATGTATCAACATAAAAATGTCTTAAAATAATTGTCGGACTTTGTCCATTTCATAATGTGTGACGTCATTTGTTTACATTTGATACGCCATGAACAGATATGAATGTACGTGAGAGATTCATGGAAAATTGAAGTTTAAATACAGTAAATTTGACCTTGCTAACCGAACACTCCTCTGTGGCCAAATCCGTAAAGGCACGTTAAGCTAAATGACTGTTCCATATACGATACAGGCTCGAATCCTGTCAGAGGATGAATGTTTTCTGTGAAAATTTCTCAGACATTCCGGCCGGTAAATGTTGTTTTGTTTATTATAAACAGAGCATTTACTTAAATATTTGTATCTACAAAAAGAATGTATAAACATAAAATGTCTTAAAATATATATATATATATATATATGAAATGTTGATCAATAAATTTTTTCATTTAATTTTAAGGTTTTCAGTTAAAACCTCATCTCATTTTTCTGAATTTGTTCTAAACCATGATCAGGTAAATAGATTAAGAACCCTGAGAATTTTTCGTTCACAGGCATATAGGAGGATCGACATTACATAGCAATTCCTAACTGTTTTCTGTATCTTAATACTTTGTTTAGTTTTTGGATGGCATGTTTTATTACTCCAATGCGTTTTCAGATTCCAGTGTTACTTTTACGTTTTTTTTTGTTTTTTTTTTTTGTTTTTTTTAAACCGTTCCCAGATATTTGAACTTCAGTACTTCAGATTTTTGCCATCCCCAATTTGTAACTCTCATCTTGGATTCTTTCTCCTTCTTACATTGTCTTCTTACAGTTGATGGTTAGTTGTTTATTCCTTCTTTGCTTTACTACCTTGTCTAGAAGTGCCTGTAATTTTCTTTGTGTCTATCATCAGCATGGTAACCTCTGCTTATCTTTTGTTTTGAATAAGAAAAAAAAAAAATGCTCAAAAAATATTCCCCAGGTCTTGTATGTCAAACTGAAATATCTGATTGTTTAGAATTTTACTTGCCTGCAACTGACTACCAGTATTTGTAACTGCCTTGATTGTATAATTCTGTAAGTAAAGGAGTCTTATATTTGAAGTTACGGTATCTAGTAGGCTAATGTTTACCTAGAAATTGTAGATTACTTGTATCTATTTTATCTCCATAATATTGCAATATTAAATGCACCTTTTCTATTAATATGTTCTGATGAGCTTTCCTCTTTGGTACTTCGACTTTATGAATTTATGCATTGCTAGATGTAATCGTGAGTTCTATCTTAGCAATTTCTTCTCTCATAATTCTTCAAAAGTTTAAATGCAATGTCACTATTTACTGTCTTAATTCCTGCTCTTTTATTGTTCTCTCTCCTTAATGATTTTCTTTTTCTCATTCTTTGGCAGTCAATAACCCTCTTTTGTCTTAGTGGATCTATTTCCTTCCTTGGGGTGAAATGTTTAAAAATTAGTTTTTTTTTTGTTTTTTTTATGCCATTAAATATAGAAACTGTATGTCTCCAAAGCAGGTAAAACGAGGCATTTAGAAATCTGCAAAATTTGCCGATTTTTTTTTTTTTTTTTTTTTTTTTTTTTTTCGTATGATTATATAATTTTAGGTTTGCTTGACCTTCCTTATTTAAAAACAAAGACCAAGTTATTCCAAATGTGGATAGTAATTTCCTTTTCTTGTGATATTAATTCTCGACCAAATATAGTTGATTCATTCAAGTATCAAATAAATTCAGTAGTTTACAATAAATTCTGCAGAGTTTTTTTTTTTTTTCTCTCCCCCCCCTCACCCATTTAGAATAAGAAAAACTTCTTAGAACTGTTAAGGGATTTGCAACTATTAGAAATCTTGTATAAGATCAAGTGTCACTATTTTATGCAAGAAGTTTCCAGCTGTTTCTACTCCATAACACCCCACAGAACATGGCCAGCCCTACCCTTGACTTAGTTAAGATTTGAGTTCATTTCACTCTTTAGACTTGATTCGATTTAGCCAAAATAGCTTAATTCAATTTTATAATTGACTGATTCAGTGTACGAGGGAATTGTATTGTATTTCTATTAGAAATGATTTTTACTTTCTTTTTATTCTACTTTACTACCATTTTTCCTTCGTTATTGAAATCAGTTAAGGTTTTTACTTCCTTGTTTTTCCTCTCCTTTCTTTTTTTTTCATTTCTCATCTTTATTATCATAATTACAAATTCTTGCAGGTGGCATGGCAGACTTTGAGAACTGCAGATATTTGTCCATTGAGCTATTTAGAAAGAAAATAAATTTTGTATTTATGCTGACTGTACTTTGGCCAGTATGTGAGGAATCTGGTAAATACACATTTAGTTTGGTGAATTTTAATTCTTTTTTTTTTTTTTTTTTTTATATATATTTACAAAGATTAGCTTAAGATTTTACAAGGCCAAATTGTGGAGTTAATGGAATTGGGTAGGAAAACTGGCAGAGCAGGATCTTTTGTAAAGGCTTGCATGCTTAACTTAAGAAGTAGTATTTAAATTGATTTTACCTTGGCTTGTGGGTGAGGGTTACATTGCTTATTATGTGAAAACTAACTAACTTGAGGCAATATTTTATTATGAGGTTCTATTCTAAAGTTAAGGGTTTATGGCCACATCACATTAAAATACTGGTTCCCATATGGTCACCAAAGTTAAGCAATGTCAAGCCTGCTCAATACCTTGATGAGTGACCACTTGGGAATATCAGGGGCCATAAGCTTAGATGTGTGGGTGGTGCAATAGATAATGGCTCTGAATCAGAAATCATTCCCATTGGGTTCATTATGTTTATTTATGTAGAAATACACTTCTGAAAGTTGCGTATCCACCTCTTCTCTCCTCATCTATAGGCTAATTAGTAGGACTTGTATCAATAAATCATTATCTCAAAAAATATTCGTACAATCTAAAAATATTTTCTGGTTTTAAATAATCTGTGAAAGGTTGATAAGTGAAAAAAACAAAACAAAATCAATCAAATTACTCAGTTTTTCACAGCACTTCATTCATATTTCCTGAAAATTCTCTACTGAATATGCTCTTGAAAAGAAGACATTTTTTATTCTTTTACAAGACTCATGTCTTCCAGTGTCATCATGTTTGACAAATTCTTACTGTATACACTGGCATGCAAAAAGTTATAGGACCAGCACCTTGTATCATGTAGGGTAAAGTGCTGTAGGGATACAGGAGATTATTTCCCTTTCGTCAAAATAAGTTATGTGGGTCATGTGATGGCAGCTTAAGGACATCACTCCATACAGTGATTAAAGCTACAGTCAATTTTATTTGGTTTAAAGTAGTCAAACAAGGCAGTTGTTTGTTTGGCTTGGGCTTCTTGGTCCAAGTTGAGGTTAATCTACCTCACACTGAAACTAAAGTCCTCAATTTTGGAAAACCCTGTTTGCAGAAGATGTCCTTGCTTGGGATATAGTAGATGAATTCTGCTTGCTTGAATCTGGTGTCCTAAATGTGGCTTCTCCAGAAAAACAGATGAATCTCCATATTTATATGTAAAACCTTATCTTTTTGTTCTCTTTCACTCTGCTTGCTGTGTAGATATGTTATATTTTTCTCTGTGTGGAACACATGTAAATATGTATATATAGTTTTTTGTGTGTGTCTTAGTGGTATAAAACTCTCTCATAGAACAAAGTATATTTGTCATTCCTTTTCCATCGAGTTATTCTGTTTTGTCCATGAAATACAGTGTTATATATAATACCCATAATGGGGGAAATATAAATGGGAGAATAAACATTTTTTCCAAGCTCCCCCATTATAGTGCAGTACCTTAACATGGCTTTAATTCTAGAAGTGGTCTGAAATTTGGGAAGATGCTGAGCCATGACATCTCAAAAACTGGCCATAGCTCCCTGATATTTAACAGGATAGGTCCTTTCCACCACTTCCTGTAAATGGTCAATTGGGCATATATCTGGTGAATATAGGTGTCATACTATTTGTTCCATGTTTCCAAAATGCTCTTTAAAACAATTCTGGACTGTTTGCACTCAATGATATGGTGTATTACCCTTCTTTACTTTTATGTAAAGACCACTAAGACATGAGGAATTACAGAAAGTGAAAGAAACTGAGAAAACACTTGGGAAAGAATAGGATTGAGTGAAATAGATGCTGATTGACATTGCATTTAAATTTGTAATTGACAAGAAACTCAGATGAGAGTTCTACAGGCAAGACTTGATGGAATAATGCATTATTGTCGGGGTACGTAAAATGCCAATCCTCCAGAGTTCAATTTGCAATATCACAAACTAGGTAAGGTGCTGTGTATGTGTCATGGTATTAATAGGGGTGACTTAGGGGGTTTCTGCTTCAATATCCCATGAAAGATAAAGAACGCTTAACTGACATAGAGAATATGTGTCTGGTATAACCTTCATTGAATTTAGATATGATCTCAGCCAGTGTCACATCTGTTTCCACAGAAAATAATAGCCAGATGCCATGAGCCTTCATCATTAAGCAGTTATTGTCAGGCACTGGCCAGGAGCATTAATTTTTTTTTTTTTTTAATTTTATTATTTATTTCTCTGAATACATCATTAAGTACGTCAATGTTGGCTATTTATCAGCATTCCATTTTTGAACTGAATTGAGTCAACTGCTTCCTCCACCGCAAGGAAAGTTGACTCCCTGTGCCGTGCCAGGAAATTCTTCTCCCGGGAATCCATCCTCCAGATCTACAAATCAACAATTCACCCTTGCATGGAGTATTGCTGCCATATATGGTCTGGAGCCCATTCTGTTTGCCTCGGGGTTCTTGATAGGCTCCAGAGGCGGATATGCAATATAATTTGCCCTGATCTGGCATCTCGTCTACAGACACTTTCTCACAGACGCACCGTCGCCTCTCTCTGTCTGTTTTACAAATACTTTGATGGTAATTGCTCCGAGGGGCTGCATTTGCTGGTTCTCAGACTTCATGAGTTCAAGCGCCCTACGAGGCTGGCATCCCACTCTCACCCCTTCACTGTCGAAATTCCTAAATGTAGCTGTCTCTTCTACTCCAATAGCTTCATGTCTCGCACCTCTCGCCTGTGGAACTCCCTTCTCTATTCTAGTTTCCCTGAGAGCTATAATCTCCAGCTATTCAAATGTAATGTCAATCGACATCTCCAGTTGCCTTGATCTATCCACTACCCTTCTCCTCATCCTTTCTTCTATCACTCCTATCTGATCTTGCTCCAAATTTTCTGTAACCCCTTGCGTCCTAGTGGCTTCCCGCCTTGCTTGGGGTGAAAAGCTTAAAAAAAAAAAATACCTTCATTTTTACTTTCTGGGCAGTATCTACTCTAATGGTTTTTTTTTTTTTACGTCCCACAAGACTTAACCTGAGTTGTGGATGTTACTGTTAAAATGGTTCATGTTGGTCAGCAAACCTGACAGTTGGCTGTCCTAATTTAATTTGAAACCTTCTTTGTTAACATCTTTATCCTGTGAAAATTTTTATCAGTCAGTGATAAGTGGAGCAGTATTTGAATATTTAAGATTTGTTTCCCTTATCTTTTCATTGTTAGACTAAAGAATCTTATTCATTGGTTTGTTTTTCATCATTTTCTTCTATAAAATGGACTCTTGTCACTCTTAAAAACATGTTTACAATTTCAAATGGATTTACTGTTTAGTCTTTTTTCCCCATTTGTTTGTGGTTTGTAAGTGAAACATTTTTATGTGAAAAAAAAAAATTTTTTTTTTTTTTTTTATTCTTTTCTGCTAAGTGTTCTTTGTAACAACAGATTCTACGGGTAAATTATGTTAATCAGATCTATCCTAGTGTACCATTTGTTTATAAACCTACTTTGGGTTCTCTTTAAAAGGCAGCGGATTTCACATTCACAGTGTGTTTGCTTGTATAACACTCCCCATCTTTTGTTCCTTTTTTTTTTTTTTTTTTTTGTCACTGATTGTTTTTTAGTTTAGATCTTTGTCATTCATTCTTTTAATGTCAGATCCCCCTTTTTTTTATCTGTTGTTTTTTTTTTTCCAACTTTTCACCTTAATTCTTATGGCTTTGATGTTTCACCTTGTGTCCTTTTACTTGTCATCTGTAAATTGTACAGCTCTTTTATAACTGAGAAAAGTTAGAAAGAAGAATCAAAGAAAATAAACCAGAATGAAAGTCTAGACGCATTTGCCACAAATTTCCTCCCTTCTTTCATTTTATTTATATTAAACAAGTCTATTATTTCTCTGCTTGTTACTGTACATTTTTGTTTTTATTTGACAAAGGAGGTCTTTGTTTTATTTTGCCTTGACATAAGTCATTTTCATTGATTCTTTATCATTAAGCAGTTAATCTGATGGGAGAAAATTCCTTCAATGTAGCTTTGCTGGACTTGTATTGTGAGCTTTAACAAGGAATACTTTGTACTTTTATTCATTCCTGGCTTTCTTTGACAAACTGGTTCCTCCTGCTGATTCTAATTTGCCTATTTCGGTATTCTTTATGCAAGATATTTATTTCAGAAAAGTAAAGGTTGATCCAAATTGGAATGTTCAGAACTAATTTTATTCATTTTATAACCACTTTGAAAAATAATCTTTGTATAGTTGTCTTCTATCTTTTAAATAGGTACGCAACAGGCTAAAAGTTTTGGGTCATCCACAGAATTTAATATTAAAATTTCAGACATTCTTTAATTTAATAAACTCTTACTAAGCTAGGATGCTGAAACCAACCCATTAGTGCAATGCATTCATTCTTTTAGAGAAGCAGGTACCAAACATTTTAAATCCACCAGTCCTAAGATTAGCCAGCAGGGTAGATTAGGCAAAAAGAGCTAATATTTTAAGGAAACTGGAAGCAGTAATAAGGATTTTGTTATCAAATATACGATAGAAACATTCAATAAGAAAAAGTCCCTTTGGCCCCAAAAGAACTAGTAATTTTTTTTTTTTTTAAAGGCATGTAACCTTCAGTTTTTGGTCAATTCTTTGAAATCCAGAGAGTGGACATGTAGATTTGAATCAATCTACAGCAAAGAAAAAGCTGAGAAAGGTTTTTAAATAGAAAAATATAAAATATTTTTATGTTCATGTATTTTTTAAACTAAGTTTTTCTCATCCTGTACAAGCATTAGGGTTCCTTGTTCAGATGAAAAGAAATGTGATTTCTTTGTGAGTATGTATGAAAAAGAGAGCAAGGGATAAAGTGAGGAGAAGAGTGTAAGTGTCATGTAGCTTGGTTCTGAAGAGTCTAAGTCACATAGCTTGATGAGGAACTCTTCTCCTTACTGTTTTTGTCTATCTAGAGACTTTACTGGAATACTCTTCAAAGGGATCATAAAGCATGTTTTTTATTGTCAGCAGGAATGCAACCCATTGGTTGAAAAAATTTTAAATATTTATTTTCAAAGGCTTAATTTATTAACCAGGAGAATGTACAGATCCTTCCACTTGGAAACCCTTCTTTATCATTTGATGATTGACTGTCATGATGTTTATTTTCCATCTTTACTTTACAGACACTAAGTTTTTACATTCAGTGCATATTTAGCTATGAACTCAAATGTTTTGCAGTTTCTTCATGTAAGTTTATAAGTTCCAAAAATTGATACACTGATGTTCACAAGGACATATTGCCAAGTGGATAAAAGTGGGAGAGTTGTGAGTTCAATATTTGACTTTTGCAGCAGTGAACAAAAACTTGGAAAGGTGATTTAAAGGGAGATAAGTGAGACATCCGGA